CCTTGTAGAACTTGTCATTATAGCTGACTGGAAAGATGACCTGGTTTAACCTCTTCAACTGTTTGATATTGTGTGGAGTTACATCTCCAAGCTCGATCCGGCTACTGGAACAAATCAAAAGGTGCTCAATAAAATATAATCAGCTTCATTTGTTATGATAAATATAAAAAAGGGGCATCAAACCTTTTCTCACAACTGAGAAATCCAACCCTTTCAGAGTGACTTCATATTCTTTGTATTTTGTAAGATTACCATTTAGGGATAAGTAAGTAAACTTCACCAGACATTTAATCAAATTCTACTCAGAGCTTTTGTATATATTTAGTCACAAAGTCAGTACACAGCAACTACAAAGAAGGCCACAATATCTTTATTTTATTTTTTTGTGGTACCAGGGATCGAACTCAGGACCTTGCACTTGCCAGGCAGGCACTTACACCACTGAGCTGTATCCCTGGCCCCCCCATACATCAATTATTGATTAAAATAACTTTATTTAATACCCTGTGCTACCTGACAACTTCAAGACCAGCCTGAACTACATAGTAAAACCCTGTGTCAAAACAAAACGCTGGTCCAAGAACTTAGTATAAGATTGACAGACATGGTACTCAAAAATCAAATTCCTTGACCTTTCTCCTTTTTCAGAATCTGAATCTCTGGAAATGCAACAAGAGAATCCACACTATCAAAAACACATTTTAAAATTACCTATCAAGAATGCATCAATATTTCTAAGAAACTATGCAGTCAAAACAATTATGATTAATTCCATTGGAAAAAGATTAATCCCTAAACATTTCTAGTCTGAGCTGCACAGTAAGACCCTGTACCAAATAAATAAATTTTAAAAATCAGTACTTTCTGAAATGCTAAAACTTAGAAAAATCATTATTCTGTAATATCTAGTCTGAATAACATTCTCCTTTCTAATGGATTAGAAACAAAAATTTAAAAAACTTTAATAATTTTTATAGCAATGTTTTTCATCTACTACATCTCAATCATCCTTGCGTATCTTTCTGTATTTTCCTGAGCACATATATTTTGTCTGCAGTTACACCAACTTTTTTATGTCTTTTTGAGACAGACCTGCTATGCAGTTCAGCCTGTCCTTGAATGCACTGTTTAGGCCAGGCTGGCCTTGAATTTGTGGCAATCCTGTCTTAGACTCCCAAGTGCTGGGGATACAGGCGTGTACCACCACACCCTGCTATGCAGTTACACTGCTTTTTATTTTCCTTTCCAATTTCCATCCATGAGTATCTTTTCCCAAATGTACTGACAATCAAAATGAGTTCTCTGTATAAGACTCATATCTTTTTGCAGGTTGCATGTCATTCACAGAACTCTTTATTAAAGCACATCCTGTTTATCTTAAGGCTGCAATGCATTTTGCCCAATCCTCTTCTAATTAAACTCTAAGAAGCTCACTTCCCCACCGTCCACCACTCACATTTAAAAAAAAAAAAAAAAAAGCGAATGTTACCACGTAAAACTTAAGATTCTCTTAAATATGGATATATTTAACCCATATTGTCTGTTCTT